TTAAGGTATGTTGTATTTGCATTGTATTATTAGTATTTGAGCTATTCTACAAAACGAATGTAAAGGACAATGACCAAAAGTGGTCCAAATGTCCACCACTAATGAGACCTATATTGGCTTATACCTAGTTCATTAAATAGAGATTAACTTTCAGTATGGGACGAAAAAAAAATAAGCTGTCAGTAAAAAGTTATGACCGTATGAAAAATTGTAGTAGTTTACGCGCTAATCTCAGGAACTACTGGTCCGATTTGAAAAAATATTTTTGTTATGGATAGCCCATTTATCAAGGATGGTTATATAACATCACTCTACAACCAATAGGGGCGGAGCAGCGACCACCCGACCATAATTCCAATATTGTTGTCTTTCTTCTGAGCTTATTTTTTTTCTTTTAGCGAGAATCTAACACGGCACACTAAGCGACATGACATAACATGCATAGATTAATCCAAAATGTGCGATGGATAGAATGATATCAAGAACATTTTTCGGATGAAAAGGTAAAAAACATGACTTTTCATTCAGTCATAACTTTTTACTGACAGCATATTTTTGATTGCGGTTTGGTTATAATGAATCAGTATTTAGTAGACTATTTTGCTACATACGAGGGGCGGCTGAAAAGTTTTGAGCCTAAGTATCTTCAAGTGTTATTATTGATTCGCACTAAATTTAATTAATTTGCCAATAATCTCCTTAGTATATGTACAAAGTTTCATTCCATTAGCGTCATCACACATTTAGTAATTAATCCGTAAACATCATCAAGTCTCAGTCATCCGCGCAATGTACGAAATTGAAGTACACAGTTGTCATAAACTTCCTCCAAAAGAGGGACAAAACGCTGACGGTTACATTTGAAGAGATGTCTACAGTTTATGGGGAGTCTGGGCCTTCATTTGCCACCATGAAAGATTGGATCCGATAGTTCAAGCATGGCAGGGAGTCGCTAAAAGATGACCGCAAGTCAGGGCGGCCAGATTTCGCCATTAACGAATAAAATAATGAAAATTTAAAGAATCTTGCTTTAGAGATCCGCGAATTAAGCTGTGACAGATAGCTGAAGCCATAGGCATTAGCAAGGAACGTATCGGCGATATTTTTCATACTCATTTGCACATGAAATAGGGGTGCACGCGATGGGTGCCAAAAATGTTCACGGCGCTCGACAACCAGCGTCGAGTCACAACTTCGCAGGAGTTTTAGGACATCTTTGGCCATAATCCTAACAANAGTATTTAGTAGACTATTTTGCTACATACGAGGGGCGGCTGAAAAGTTTTGAGCCTAAGTATCTTCAAGTGTTATTATTGATTCGCACTAAATTTAATTAATTTGCCAATAATCTCCTTAGTATATGTACAAAGTTTCATTCCATTAGCGTCATCACACATTTAGTAATTAATCCGTAAACATCATCAAGTCTCAGTCATCCGCGCAATATACGAAATTGAAGTACACAGTTGTCATAAACTTCCTCCAAAAGAGGGACAAAACGCTGACGGTTACATTTGAAGAGATGTCTACAGTTTATGGGGAGTCTGGGCCTTCATTTGCCACCATGAAAGATTGGATCCGATAGTTCAAGCATGGCAGGAAGTCGCTAAAAGATGACCGCAAGTCAGGGCGGCCAGATTTCGCCATTAACGAATAAAATAATGAAAATTTAAAGAATCTTGCTTTAGAGATCCGCGAATTAAGCTGTGACAGATAACTGAAGCCATAGGCATTAGCAAGGAACGTATCGGCGATATTTTTCATACTCATTTGCACATGAAATAGGGGTGCACGCGATGGGTGCCAAAAATGTTCACGGCGCTCGACAACCAGCGTCGAGTCACAACTTCGCAGGAGTTTTAGGACATCTTTGGCCATAATCCTAACAAATTTTTTTCTCACATTGTCACTATTGATAAATAGTAGATCCGGCAGTAGGATGTAGAGTCAAAATAAGAGTCAATGCAATGGATTCAAAAGGGAAAACGCCGCCGCGGAAATTCAAAGTGGAGTGATCGACACCCAAGCTCATAGCCACTATTTTTGGGATTGTGGAGGAATTTTATTCATTGACTACCTACTTAAAAAAAACTACAATAAACGGGGATTATTATGCTGTACTGCTGATAAGAGTGCGTCAAGTGGTTGTTGAAATATTAAAAGGCAAACTGGCGAAAGGAAATCTGTTATTGCAAGACAATTCGCCCGCGCACACCGCGCATGTTGCATGGCTTGCCCCGGGTAAAACTGGATTTCAAGAAATTAATCACCCACCACACAGTTTAGTCCGAATCCCTAGCTATTTTGTCTAATTCCCAAATTGGAAAAAAGACCTCCAGGAACGAAGATTTTTGAGTGACAAAGAAATGAAAGCGGCATTAAAGGCTCATTTCGAAGGCAAAGATTGCGAATTTTTTTTCAGTGGGTTAAAAGCTCTTTTACACAAATGTAAGAAGTCCGTTGTAGTAGAGGGAGATTAAATAGAAAAATATATTTTTTGTATTTTTCTATCGGCGTTTTTAATACCCTAGGCTCAAAACTTTTCAGCCGCCCCTCGTAGGTCTCGTTAGTGGTGGACATTTGGACCACACTCCATACATTTGTGGTCATTGTCCTTTATTAGTCTACGTTTATTAGTTTCGACGTAATTGTTGAACAAAGATACCCCTTCCCAGCGGTTTCCATAGTAACCAAATAAAACATACCTTAAGGACCTGGTTTTTCTTGTGTTGGAAAATAACTTAAAAAGAAGTATAAAAGTATATTTTCATCGATAGAATTGTCCATAGATTATGCCCTTAAAGTTTGATCACTACAAGCCCGGATACATTGTATAAGTGGACTGATGTCTGGCATGAAATATCAAACGCAGAGTATGAGTGACTTTAACCCACATTGTGTGATGTGAAGATATAAAAAATGTTCTTGCAATTATTAATTTCGATGTATCCTTTATTCTCAAATAAATATGTATGAACTTAAGAATAAGTCTTCTTATGAATATATGGTTAATGAAGAATGTTCTCTAATTTTGTTTTTTAGCTTCCTGTATTCTCTGTTAAAAATAAAAAATACACGTGAAAGAATTATTTCGATACGTCAATTAGTTTCCAAGATATTGAATTTTAAAAGTGCGGGCGGCGGCCTGCCCGCCATTTTATGCGCGTGACGTCATATTACAGTGACTGGCTCATATTTGTATGGGTGGAATCTTGCAAGCTGAATTAAGACACACTTCCAGGCAACCGATTAAGCTGAAATTACGCAAACACATGTGATTTGGATGACCATGCAATATTATGATGACATGAAGCTGATCTGATGATGGAGCTGGAAGGTGGCCATAGGAACTCTATAATAAAACGACTTAAATGCATCGAGTTTGGGCTCGTTCGTTTTGTATTGATGAGTATTTTAATTCTACACTTGCGAGCAAAAGTATGGAATCACTTACATGAAGTTGTTTCCACGCGATCTTGTGTACTAACGAATTTGTTAGTAACTAAAAAAGTAGCACCATTTTAAAGATTAAACTTTTAACTTTAAATTGATACCAAATTCATTTAAATCACACCGGTATTTAAAAAGATATCCCGGCTGATGTGAAGGAGTAAGAAAAAAGACATGTACCAACTGTTTGATACGTCGCGAGTTGCGGCCTATTTACCCCCTATAAAAGCACGTGTTTTCGGATTTTTGCGTTCACACGTTGATCCATACACATCTCGGCTTCTTTTGACACTTTACCTGGGATTCTACACCTTCAGAATCAGCACAAATCGTTGCACTATTGCAAGAAGGGCTAAGCCAGCGGGCTGTAGCACGTCAGCTCCACATAAGCGCAACCGATTAAGCTGAAATTTCGCAAACACATGTGATTTGGATGACCATGCAATATTATGATGACATGGAGCTGATCTGATGATGGAGCTGGAAGGTGGCCATAGGAACTCTATAATAAAACGACTTAAATGCATCGAGTTTGGGCTCGTTCGTTTTGTATTGATGAGTATTTTAATTCTATATAGTAATCGGGGTCTAATGATGGAGCTGGAAGGTAATTCGCAATAAAACGACACAATCGCATCAAGTTTGGGTTTGGTTCAATTTTAATTTCTGTGATGGGTCTGGGTGTTAATATGTATAATAAGTTTGTATTTACAACAAAAAAATAGTTTATATCCGTTTTCTAGTGAGCGGACGCTGTGAATGTACGTCACACGGGGTCACGTGACCGTCGGCGGGACTCAATATTTAAGCGAACTTTGAATGCCTATAAAATCATAACTACTAGGTATTTTTGAATGAAATAAAAACTAATGTACCTATTTGTAAATGTAAAAGCTTAACTGTAACATAGGTTTCAAGTGATTTTGCATACCTAGTAACATTCTCAATTAATAATTATAGATTTTTTTATAATTATACCTAGGTGACATGCACTGTGCGGTGGGACTATGGTTAAAATAAATTACCCGTAGACCCACTGGCAAAAACTGTTCAGAACGGTGGGACAACGGGTAAAAAAAATTACCCGTGGACCCACCAGGGGGACATGTTGGGGTGACCACGGGTAAACGCCGGTCACACTAGGTCCGGTGGCAAGCCTCACCATTCCTCCCGCACTGCAGCCTTTCTTGTGCACTCGTGGAGTGGACCATTGAGTGCCCTCAACCTTCCCCTGTTATTTTTACAAAATATTTTTGAGTGTTGGTTAAGGCCAATTATATATTTTTTTTTTTTTTTTATGCTAGCCAAGGCAGGTATTTGACCGCAATCGCACCTGGTGTTAAGTGAGATGCAATTATATGGACAAGTTTGCATTTATCTTTTATATTCAATGTCTTCAGTCTGATACACTTAAATACTGTAAAGTACAGATCCTTAAATCCGCATTTTTAATGTAGTATTAATGGCTGTTGTATTAAATTAAATTACAAATCCTAAATGCTTAGTCCACGTCTGAATACCTAAATTTTTTCTCTTCAGTTACGTTATCGATGGATGACGAACCAGCTACACTTGAAAGTCAGTTCTTTGAGTTTGCAAAACTTTTGGACAATAAACGGGATGGATTGACGATCACCCTGTATAGATCAGACTATTGGATGCGTCAGAGTAAACTTATTGATGATAGGAAACTCACCATGACAGATACAGGCATTTTTTGGTGGAAATTCTGGTAAGTCATCGAATGTCTTTATGGTACCCTGGTAACCTATCCCTACTAAGGTATCCTTACTGGTAATGATATTTTTTCCATAATTAAACATTGGGTGTTAATTAAAGGGGAAAAAAATCCATGAAGGTTAATTTGACAAACTCCATTTTTTGTTCTTTGACAATATTGTTCTTCTGAAGAGTGTGTGAGTGTGAATGAAAATCCCACTTAAGTCACAGAGGTGGTAAAACGAAAATATCCTTTAGAATTCGGCCAAAATTTGGCAAAGTCGGCCGTTTGGTGTAGTGGTTCAGAACTGACTACTATGCCGAGAGGTCCCGGGTTCGATTCCCGGCCGGGCAGAAATTGAGATGATGAATTTTAATTTCTGTGACGGGTCTGGGTGTTACTATGTATAATATGTATGTATTTAAAAAAAAAAAAGTATTTAAGTAGTATATCCGTTAAGCTAGCACCCATAACACAAGCATTAAGTTGCTTACTTTGGGGCTAGCTGGCGCTGTGTGAAATTGTCCAAAAGATTTATTATTTATTTATTATTTATTATTAATTAAGAGTACCTAACTAATGAATAGTGGGTGTTCTTTTGAACCCTCCATTGAGTTGGTCGTTATATGATGCTCTCCAAAAGACCACCACGATTTTATTAAATTATCTTTCATCCAATTACTATCTATCCATAATTTCATATTTTTAAATTATTATTCTTGCATTAGTTCCATGTGAAACTAAATAATATGGAATTACTCGGTTTTGTTTCAGTAAAACAGAGTTGAACTATGATGAGTGGTACGAGTTTTTGACTGATGTGTGTAATGAAAAGAAGCTAGACCAGGAATACGTTGACAATGCAATGACTAACTGTGGAATCCCCGGAACTTCCGCCGTGAACGTTCCGCAATACCGAGATTTCTTCGACACCTATCAACCCAAGGAAAAGCTGGCTTTCTAATTTCTCTCTAGTTTTATAGTTGAATGTTTTATAACAAGCTGGCACGCTTGTTTATAACACTACCGTTGAAGTAATTTAGTGTTATGGTTATAATATTAATTCACTTTAAGATTGTCACAAAATATGTATAAGTATTGTAACTATTAAATTGTGTATATTGAAAATATTTGTCTTTCCATTAATATTTTCATTGTTAGGTCATTTATGGGTTGGTCAGCTTGAATTGGAGTTGAGTTTCACAGGAACCATGTTGGTTTTAGAAAACCATCCAATAACAGCCCGCCATTATATTCGTTGTCGAACTTAATGCAATCTAGCTTAATGGCATTTAACCAAACCGAATTAAGGAAAACTGTCCGCAGCAGTTATTGTTTCCAAGATTTCCAGCAGATATGCGTCGAGTCAAAATATTTAATTTTTTGATACATTATTTTATCAACTACTCTAGCACCCTTATTTGCGGCCGGATTTAATTAAGTATCCGTATATCAAATTCCACCAAAAACATTCTGCAAAAAATTGGCCTAGTGTGTGTCGTGCCACGCGCAGTGTAGGGTTCCGTGGTAGTTGTCCTTCGTTACCACAATATATTATTATTTCAGAAGCAAGCAAGCATTTTCTTCTAAGGAATTTTTACTGGTTAAGAAATTTTATAATGCATGAGTAAAACGTCTATTTAATTACTCTTAAACCGGCCAACTCTGAATGTTTTATGATAAGGACAGGACAAACAGTTCTACTATACTTTTTTTATGCATAACAAGGCAGGTATTTGACCACAATCGCATCTGATGTTAAGTGGGATGCAGTCTAGGATGGTACATATCTGCCCTGTAAGTGCCTATTCACTCTCGCTTTGAAGAGGCCCGAATTATAGTTTTCGGGAAAGACAGCAGCGGCAACGAATTCCAGTTCCTAGCTGTTCGCATTATAAGAGTCATCGAAACGCTTAGTGCGAGCTGATGGAATGTCAACAAACAAATAAAAAAACTTGGAAATGATGAATTTGAATTTTAAGAAAAAGCATTAATTAGCAAACACTAGAATTTATTATATTAACCCTAAAGTTTTCTTTTTCGAATGATATACTGTAATTAATTTGTATAAATAAAAGTAACTAACTTTAAATAAATAAAAACACTAATGAAATTAGAACTCATACAACGCCTTGTAGAAGTTGTAAAAGTTGAAAAGGACTCAAGTAAACAAAGGGCTTTTATCAGCTTTCCTTCATACACTGGCATTACTGGCACCCGACTGCTTGAAATACAGGTACAATACTAAACCGATGTAAACTGACAAGGGCGGCTGCGATCGACCGAATAGCGACAGTCGGAGACTGAGCCGCTATTGGAATGATTCGTGTCGCAGGCTTTTTGTGATTTGTTTTGACAAGTGACAGCTGCAAGTTATCGGCATAGTAACATTTATTTCCTGCAATTAAATGATAGACTTACGTGGTTCATACTGGAACGAAGAATGATATTCTTTACAAATCTTCTGGTAGTCGTCCAATGGCGCTGTGAGATGTGGGTTTTGCGGCATCCTCAAATGGTTTGAGCTTAGCAGTGGAGCAATTTTCTTGCCAGCGTCGAACTGTAAAGAAAATCTTGATTAGATCATTGATTGATCATTTGCGTCAAAATTGCAGTCTCCACCCATATTTTAAGCAAATCAAGAAATGTTACTTAGTGATACGCTATAGTATTTTTTGTTACCTATCGTTACATATTCGACACCTCCCTAATTTTAAAAACAATGCCGATGGCTAATCTAAATGTTATTTCTAGCAACAATCAATCCTTAATGTTTCGTTGTAAAACCAAAGGGAACCAGAAATCGATAGCACCAGACGAGTTGCACAACAACCCGTGTTTTTGACACACAATTCGCTTTTAATTTGCGTTTCCATTGTTAATCAAGGCTGTGTTGGGCGGGTGGACGAAGCCTTCAAGGAACTATGCTGATTAAGTTCCCCCTGGCTATTTTGGACTAATTGTTCCAATAATGATCACGTTGAAATTTTGATACAGAAAAGAAATCACTTAACTGAAATGGAAACTGCTCTTTCATCTTTCGCCACAATGAAATTCATGGTATCAATCAACTTCAACCGTGAAAACATTTTTTTTTTCAAAATCATAAAGACTATGAGTTTGTCATACAAATATATTACTACGCCTTTTTTTAGCTGTTAAGGTATGAATAATAAATAAATAAACAGATACGAAAATGAGTTACGTACGTAATATAGAATTAAGCAAGTCTAGAAAAATATTCGAAGACCTTATTCACTAGTGTAAAACTCTACGCTTTTAATTGTTCACGCGCACACATCATTTTAAATATTCTTGTTATGAATCTATAAAATGTATTCAAAAGTATACTATAGATTGAACAAGACTTGTAAAAAAACAAACATCGCGCGCCATCTTTTACGGTTTTTATGACCCGCAGTTAAAACAATTTACAACACTTGAAATAGAATATTTTGAAGGAATCTTGAATGCGTGGTAAGTAAATACGGATCTGTTGAAATATCACATGTAACCTCATGATAAAAAAGGTGGTTACTGTTTGTTTCCCAAACTGAAACGTCGGAAATCATGTTTCGAGATCAATTAACGATCTCTTTGAGGTCGAGTTATATTTATAAACTAGCGGCCGCCCGCGACTTCGTACGCGTGGATCCCGTTTTACCCCCTTCATCTATCTTACGCGGTTTAGATTTTTTCATACAAATGTTTTTTTCCGCTAACTCCCGTTCCCGTGGGAATTTCGCAATATCCTGTTGTAACTAAGCTTCAAGTTTACTAAGGTATCTGCATGCCAAATTTCAAGCGTCTAACTTAAGCGGTTTAGATTTTTCATACAAATTTTTTTTTTGGTTAAGATTTAGAGGTCGCTACCAGCTGTCAAAATATTTACAAAAAGCTTTGAAGATCTTAAATCATGGTTTCATAAATGTTTTATTTAAGTGTTTATATCACATTTTACGTGCAAATTAACATCGCATAGATAGAATAGACAATCGCTTCTTGTCCCCTTCTCCCCGCAACCCCTCTTCTGTACCGACCATGGTACCGACGCGTCGAGATACTAACAAGTCAACTCTTATATCTTAAAAATAATTGATTCAAATATGTACATTGTACATAATATCTTAGTTCATAGCAACAACAATAATTTGGAAATATTTTGATTTTTTGGCTATAAAAATAAATGAATCTAACAAATACTGATTTTGTGTTTTTACTTAAAATTCAAACCTTGGTAGCGACCCCTAAATGTCTTTTAAAATAAAAAAAAATTGAAATGTACAATTTTATGTGCGGTTAGCCCGTACAACTTTCATATGGTATATATTCAAATTACGTGGTGCCCCGCAAAATATAAGAATTTTTTTTCGTAGGAATAATGACCACCCTACTATTTATATTATGTTATTGCTATTTATCTATGAAAATAAGACAAAATATATGTTTTATAAACACTTAAGAGTCATTTACAGTAATAAAGTTTGAAAAAATTATTGCTGTGAAGTACAGAATCACTTTCGTGGCATCAAAAAATTCAAAACGTTAAAGCTTCCAAACGAGACTCAGTATTTGACTGATTTACTGAGAATACAATCTTCACATCAAGCGCTACAATTTTTGTTGACAAAAAGCTGAAATAAGTTAGAAATAAAAGTCGCCACGAAGGTGACGATGAGAACCGTGGCGATGAGAAATACCCATACATATGTGCACTTTATCGTGACTGACACTGTACATAACATAATGATACATTTTTCTGAAAAAAGCAATACCTAATCCAGAAAATGTTTACATCAAAACATTACTTTACTTAGGTAAGTACTTGAATTTTATTAAGAGGATATATTTTTGCTACCTTTGATTTATTGCCATCATGATTAATTAAATAAAAACATTAAAATATTGTTAGATCCTCATCTACTTCGTCCGATCTCAAAATGTGTGTTTAGAGCCCGACACACTGTCGTATATTCGCAAAATGTACTCACCAACAGTTTAAAATCGTCAATGAGGGAGCTAAAAACGCCAGGCGCTGCGCCCGTGCTACTAGCGCCCGTGGTTCCGCTAACGTCTGATCCAGTCGTAGGAAGGTTCGAATCTGTGTTTTCTGTGTTCGCGTTATGTCCATCTGTGTTCGTCGTGTTTTCGTCTTTGTCTCTCATTTCGCCATTGTCAGGTATAGGGGCATTTTGGGTCGCATCTGAAACAAAAAATATTTTTTTAATTCTTTATAACTTGCAGCGAAATAATAAATACAGATGAAAATTTTCGCCAAATGCCTGGCCTAGTGCTTCGCTTACCAATCTTACTATACGCCGGTCGTGGGTTTGATCTCCGTTACACAGTGATTCTACATCTTAAACATGTAGGATTAATTAGTTGTGTGTGTTACGGAATAGTAGGATGACGAATAAAAAATTGTTTATGATTTGAACGGCTGAATGATGGTAAATGGAGGAAACAGATGAATGAGGTAAGGATTGAGAGTGGAAATAGCAGTTTAGATGAGTCAAAAGTGTGTTGTGAGTTGTGGAATACGTAAGACGGAAGACAGTCAATCTGTTTAAGATTGTAGTAAAAGCTGTACAAGACGTGTAACGAACAAAACATCAAGCAAGTTTACAAATTCATCAGAGTTTTAGTCACTACAAGCACCAGAACTTCCACATACATTTATGTGCATATAAAGGGTGTTTTTTAGAGGTACCTATACAACTTTAAAATAAAATAAAGTACGTAAAAATATTTTATTGACATGGTATTGGTTTTATTTAAAAGATATACTTATGGCATTTATGCTTTAAAATGATTTTGGGCCTAAGGGAGCCACGATTGGCTCAAATGTAGCGTAATCGGGTTGTCCAATTTTTAACTACTTTTTCGAGTAACTGGTGTCATACATCGGCAATAACACAACGAATGTTGGTATCGAAGTCTGTAGTTTATCTGAGTAGAAGTGTG